GCAGAGAGGTAATATATTTAACTTTAACGCTGAAAGTGGAAAGTGACGTTAAAAGTCACGCAAAGGCTGTGGGGTGTGCAGATTCAGCACCCTTGGGGAAGGAGATAAGGAATGATGTGATGGGGTGCCTACCACCACCCAGGAGGATAAGTCATTGAAAATGGACAGCTGCCATTCAGTTCCTGCCAGCTGCACTTCAGTGCAGGAAGGTGGGCCCAGTGTGGCCAGTCTTACAACTCTTCATATAATTATGATAAAACTTTCCATTTTTAAATATAGACTTTTTTATTATAAAAATTTTAAGGAAAAAATTCTTGGAAGGAAGGAGGAACACAAACAATGTATAAACTACATGTAGGCAGAAGACAATCTGTGATATGTGGACCCATCTTCCTAGTCCCAAGTCTAATTTCATACTACTTGGTGTAAATACATACCCCAAAGTGAAATGCCTAGGAGACTCAACAATATAAATATTAGTCACTCCCAGAAACTGACTTTGGAGGCAGGGGTCATCCCAGCACTTTGGGAGGCTGAGACGAGAGGACTGCTTGAGTCCAGGAGTTTGAGACCAGCCTGGGCAAGATAATAAAACTTCATCTCTACAAAAAATAAAAAAACCAGCCAGGCATTAGTGGCGATCCTGCCACTGCACAAGAGTGAGATTCCAACTCAAAAGAAAAAAAAGAAACAGACTTTGGACCTAGAAATGATGTTTGGAATGTTAATGGGAAAAGTGGGGAAAAAAATACATTGTGGGAGTATACAAACATTAGAAATAAGATTAATATCTCCATTATCTGTATCAGGACTTACAAAAGTGTCAGGGAAACTTGAATGCCAGAATGGACTGGGTTACAATGCAGCATGGAAAACTGATCATTTGTTAAAGTATGGTTTCTGGTTCTTGTTACTATTAAGCTCTTTGGCAAATGCCTTCATATCTCTGTTTAATGATTCCAAAACAATTTAAGAAGAGTGGCAACAAAGAATAATAATTACAAAACTGGCAGATGACCAGGGTTAAATATGTTTGCCTAACAGAAGATATGTTTTCTTTAGAGATGATAAGGCCAGGTGTGGAGGCTCATGCCTGTAATTCCAGCACTTTAGAAGGTGGAGGCAAAAGGATTGCCTGAGCCCACAGGTTCGAGACCAGCCTGGGCCACTTGGTAAGACCTTGTCTCTACAATAAATCAAAAAATTAGTTGGGTGTGGTGGCACGTGCCTGTAGTTCCAGCTAACTGGAAGGTTGAGGAGGAAGGATCGCCTGAAACCAGCAGGTAGAGGCTGCAGTGGCAATGAGTGTGCCACTGCACTCCAGCCTGGGTGACAGAGTGAGACTCTGACTCAAAAAAAATAAATAAATAAAAATAAATGATATGAAGGATATAATCTGGTTGATTAAGAGCAAAATGAAATGTAACTGGCATAGCAAAATATCACTTTACAAGATAGTCAATTTGACCAGTTTGTTGTGAAAAAGTATTTCCCACTTGTGATCCAGACAAAACCAAGATCTGAATTATCTGAAATTAAAAAAAAAACAAACAAAAGATTTATCAGTTTCAAATAACCTTAAAACTCTACCCAAACTGAAATGATTGAGTTTATATAAATATACACACTTATATATTCTTTAAATATATAAGACACAAACCATAGGGGTGCATGGCCATCACAGGCCAATCATTTAACTCTGGCTACTGTGTGACTGTTGTGAGCAGGGTGGGTCTCTGACCTACATTTACAGCTGTCAGCTTTTTAAACACCCTTCCCACAAGGAAATCTTTGCCTTTTGTTCAAAATATTTGAACAAAATTCACCTCTGAACTAACAGAGATATGTTAACAGGACACTTGGCACAAAAGGGCTAAAAGAAACTGGTTCTTATATAGTCTCTCAGGCTGTTAATCATCTAGACACAAGGGAGTCAGCATCCACGGTGTTCAGAAGGTAGAGTTCAGGCTGAGCTGTCAATCCCAGGTGGAACTAAGGACACAAAATGGAAAAGGGTTAGATTTTCAAGTATTTAAATACTGAAATTGGTATATGTATCATCAGCATATCCATCTAGGCCTCTTTTCAGCACTGCTATATTGGTTTTTATTTCAGAAAAGATACAAACATGAATGGTTTCTGATATGTAAAATAAAAGCTAGGAACCGAAACAGTTAAGGACTGACATACTACCACATGCCTTCAGCAACATGAGCACTCTGACTATTCTTATGACACATTCTGCGTCAGGATTGGAGCTTGAGATCAGGATAAGAGCAACATGCACTGTGGGCTTTTGTATTTTAGTACTGTGTGTATTAGAAATCAAATTTCAAAGGGTCTAAATCCTGGGTCCTGTAATCCTGGCCCCATTATCCTTGGCAATTGAGCAGAGAAAAGCCTCTCGTTAATAAACAAAAACATAAAATGGTATGTGCTAAGAGAGAAAGATGACCTATGGAACCCAAATGCACGCTGGGCAGAAATCAGTCACCTCAGCTGCTTTTTTTTTTTTTTTGAGTTGGAGTCTCACTCTGTCACCCAGGCTGGAGTGCAGTCGGCCGCTCCCGGCCACCGCAGCCTCCACCTGCTGGGCTCTGGCGATCCTTCCGCCTCAGCCTTCTAAGTAGCCGGAATTACAGGCATGCGCTATCACGCCCGGCTGATTTTTTGATTTATTGTAGAGATGAGGTCTCAAACCCGCGGGCTTAGGCAATCCACTCACCTCAGCCTCCCAAAGGTGCGGGATTACAGGCTGAGCCACCGAGCCTGGCTCGGCTACTTTTAAAACATGACTCCAGACTTCACTCCTAGAGAACTGAATCCAGATAGCTGTGTCCCATAAACTAGTTTGTGTCTGCTATTTCATTTTACTTTTTCTTTCTCTCAAATATACCTCGAATCTCTTTTTAGCCCTACTGTTATTTCTTACAGCTTCAGGAATATTATTGTCCCTTGGCACCAAGAGCCTACAAGTTAATGCAGAACGCAGACTATACATCTATACGAAGAACTATCCCTATTTTAGTGTAATGGAAAAGGCACTGGAGTTGGGTTCAAGCCGTAAACTCTATCACTTCCTATGGCCTTCAGCATGTCACATAACCTTCTGGAAACTTCTTCTACTTATTTGTAAAGTGGGATAAATGCTTCATTTAAAAATGCCAAGTATACTAATATGCTGTGTGTCTTCAATAAATATATTTTGTAACATACCACGGATTTACCTGTATAACCCCATAGGTTTGTTGTGATGACTAAATGTGTGAAGAGACTAAATGGTGCCCAAGATAAAACTGCACCCAACTAGCAGTCTAGGAAAATACTGTGTCACAGTGGCCTCAGACTTCAGGTAGCTTATTCATTTCATGGTCTTACATTGCAGGTTTCAGTACCTAATAACAATGTCAGATACACTGACAATTTGTTGACGCCTTTGCCCAAGTGAACAAAGGTGGAAGCTTCTTCATGATATAGTAAGTAAGGGCCGCGAAACTAGTCCTGTGATGCCCACAGAGTGTGTCATTTGGATGAATTAGTGGACAGACCTCCTGGCTAAGTTTGTCATGTTGTTCTGAGACACTGAGAAATGAGGCTAGGTGGCACAGGAAAAGGCTAAATGCCTTACAGGAGCAGACGGGCCAGCTTACTAGGCAGTAATTTTGGGCTATTGCTGGGGTAGGACCACAGAGGGCCCTACCTGTTCTCCATGCCTGCCAACATTATTCCAACTTATTTTTTAAGATTTTGCACACGCCAAACAAAATCTACTGAGCTAAAGCATATTCCAGCACTCATCAGAGTATCAAGCAAATGCTTAATGTGTTGATGTTCTTGGTGCTGTTAAACAACAAAGCTTGGTGTGTCCACCCAGCACAAAGGGTGCGTTATCTATTACACAGAAGAGTTTAAGAATGAAAACATGGGCTCTGGAGTTAAGCTATTCAAGTTCAAATGCGAATTGCTCATTTATTAGTACTGTGATGTGTGCAAGTTGCTTTTGGCCTTTCAGTTGACTCATCGATATAAAGGCTGATCCTCTTGTTCTAAGGATTACATGAAAAAATACAAGTGCCCTCAGGCCAGAACTGGTACACAGTAATGAGTTAGCCATTTTTACACGCATAAGCTAAGGTGCTGACAACACATTTTGATTCACTGGGCCGACCAATGAAGGACCAGAGGCACTCCAGAGGGCAGAGCTAAAGGAAATGTTTCCAATCAGGATCTTCAAATTGTATTTGCATCCCAGAATTTTTTAGTTCTGGAATTAAATCCAAAGTAAGTAGAGAGAACTAAATGAGGAAGGACAACCTAGAGAACAAAATTCTTCCTGGGTTACTTCTACAGTGTTACTTACAATAGTCAGCTCCTGTGAGACAGCCAGGAAGAGCTTGTGACAGAGAAAGGGAAAAGGAAGTTCTGGTGACACTCTTGGGACAAACCAAGCGCTGACGCAGATTTTCCCGTCATGTGTCCAGTGACAGGGCTAGCTCACTGTGCCTAACCCTCGCCCTTCTTCTTAATAAATGATGCCAATATTTCCATTTAGATATAAGGTCTGTCAAAATGCTCATTGGTTTTTAAGCTAAAACCATTTTAGTTTTTCTCTTCAAATAATCACTAATTATCACTGGCAGCCTTTATAGAATGCAAAAGCCTATTTTCATGCTGAAATGAGACTACAGGTAGAAAAATATTCAGCTTATAGTAGAGAAAGGCAGAATAAAATTTATTTTCAAGTGTAAACATGGTAATGATGTGATCTTTAGCTATAGTTAAACTGTTTGACTAAGTAAATGGAAACTAGTGTCTTGGTGTCTGCAGTTAATACAGTCCTTCTGAAGACTAAACAATCCCTTCTGAGTAGGGAGTCACCAACAGTGTGGACTTAGAGTGTCATTCCCAGTGGTAATTGGTGTTTTAGTATTTCTGAATAAAAGTTGTTCAAATTAATAAAGTATTTTCAAGGTTTAAAAAAATACCCAGGAAACCAAGTAGGAAAAATAATTTTCTTTTAATCACAAACCAAGTTTACATATTGTTAAATGGTTGCTGAAAGCTCAGCTGTAACCACTCCTAACACCACCAACAGGAACTCACAGGAGCCTAACTAAAGTTATTTCCCTTTCCCCTGTTAATTTCCAGTATACTGTAGCTACACAGTCATTTCATGTCACAATTAAAGAGAACAAGGACCAATTTATATAAAGTACAACTGCAGACCCCTTAAACATTCCACACAAACACTCTGCCAAAATGCACCACATATGCTGGCATTGGAGGAGTTAAATTTCTACACATTGTTTATTGCACCCAGAGTACTGGTTGGAGTACACTTTCTCTCTGTGAGGGTAAAATGTAGTAAGGTATGGGAATATTTTTAATACTGTAAAATACTACCCACACAGTATTACAAAATACCTTTAACTGGGAAGAACTATTCCATCATTGCAAGTCATAAATACAACTTTTAAAAGAATACAAGCTTTTACCTAAGCTACTAAATGTGTATGAATATGGCACTGACTGGACCCATCCAGACCCAGAGCAAAGGTAAATGTTACTGCGTCAGCCTCATAAATAATTGTTTGTCAATCTGGCCTCCCCCTACTGCAGCCAGGGGACAGTTTAAGGTGTCAATCCCCAATATCTACCCATAGTGCCTTTATGACTGGTTTTGGGAATGATGGTGGCAAGGGGAGAGGAGCAGACCTAAGGAGGAACAGTCAGGGGGATTGTTATTCGTGACTCTGTGGTATTACTTGGGGGGGGGATAAGAAAACACATGTCAGCGAAACACAGTAGTGTAGCCTTAATGCTTTATAAAAGACTATCCATCCAGACTGCAATTTTAACTGTGTGCAACATATCAGTAATAATGCTTTTGGGTTTCAGATGAACAGAGAACATCAACCAAACGGGACTCCAGAAGGAAAGCTCCAGAAACAGGAAGTCCTTCAATGCCATTCCCATTACTGTTCTCGCCAAGCCAATGGCTATAAGAGACTTCTGATTATCTCCAACAGACAAAGTGACTTGATTTGAGATCACCACAAAATCTCAGGCTCCGCATGTAAACATGTCAGAAGTGGCTGAAGTAAGAGCCGCAGCTTCATGCTGGAGACACCCATTTCCTCTGACTCCAGAGTTCCACCATCTGGTCTCAGAGTTTTTCATTTGAGGAAATAGCTGTGGAGAGGTAGCCCAGTTCAACCTTGCAGAGAGAACTTTGCAACCACAGTGACACCTATTGACTTGTGGAGAACTCGCACTTTGCAATGGTTACATCAGAGCTCCTGAGACTGCCTTCCAAGTCATCGTGGGCATGAAGCAGGGTGGTGCATCAGAAAACGTGATGACTGGTGACAGGTGGCTTTCAGGAATAAAACAGATGGCTCTTCTTCCCTGTGACAGTCTTTTCTCCCCACCCTCAAAGTCTCACAAGAACACAGTTCCTAAGTGCTACCATCTATCACCATCCTCCCAGAGGAAGAAGGTGAAGGTTTCACAACTATATGGGCTCGAGAGTAACATCATCAGAAAGACTCTGTACTAACAGGAAGGCTATTAAAATCAGGACTCCCCCCAAATCCTCATGCACTTTCAATCTCAGGAAAATCTCCAGACAGTGATTAGCAATTACCACCTACAGGCGAGTTTTGCTAGTTGTCCATTTTTCACTTCTTTTTCTCACCCCTCTTAACTCCCACTGAGAAATTTAAAGTAGAAATAAGTTCAAAGAATGCTAAGCCTGATAGAAATAGGTGTCTCTTAATTTTATATTTCATATGGATGAAGCCATTTTACTCGAGATTTTTGTATAATTAAAGTAATTGAAAGGGTATATGTAAGAAAGTCATCAGCCTTCTAAAACCTATTAACTTTTGACAAATAAAATTTGCATACCCATTCTGTAGTTTGTATTACGAAAAGTGTATTGCATTTTCCTTTTTTCCCCCCCACATATAGCCTGGTTTAGAACCATACATAGAGGATTATCTCTCAAAAGGATAAATCCAGCTGGCTCTTGAGCAGCTACTTAAGGGTTTAGTGTTGGAATGATAGCAGCACAGGTCGGCTTTTCAAAGATCCTATCCTAATCCAGTTCTCAGGCTTGGAGGTCAGGAAGAAAAAAATAATTCCATCTTTCAAACATACACGAAACAAAGTCTCTCCCAACCAACGGTTGAGTTCTAAATGCAGTCTGTGCAACAGCACATACTTTTGGCTATGTTCACACAGTAAACCATAGAAACACACTCGCTCTGATGGCTACCTGCGAAAACAGACAGACTAATCCAGTGTTTACTTAGCATAGCCTCGGGGGGCTTCTTCGGCCAGCAGGACTTTAGAGATGCTTACCGTGTGCCCACAGTCCAGGAAGGACATGCCCAGTGCAATCAAACACTGCCAACCCTGAAAGATAAAACATGGCCATCATTCACCAGGCTACCTGAAGAGCCCTCTCGCCCACCACAACTGCTCTCACAGCACTGCCCACGGGCAGCTCTGCCCCTTTCATGAACATCCGGCTCTGCCCAGCTTCTACCAGCAGGGGTTGCACAAGTCATTCTTCCAATCCCACCACCTCTTCAAGAAACCTGGAATCTGCCTTCTCTGCTATTTGTCCATACTATCTTCAAAACTATTTTCAATACTCAGTTCTCTCTGTTCCTACTGCTTTGTGTTTGTGGTTTGTTTCTTTCAGCTGACTGTGAGTTTCCTGAAGACCATTTTTCTTCAGCCCTCCCACGATGGGGAGTGTGACTAACAGACTAACGCAACTGGTGAGTCACCTGAAATCCCAGCAGTAACCCACTCAAGAGCCAGCCCAGGCCTCCAAAACCTAGTCTTTAACCAGCTCACTATCAGGCTGACTAAGGACAACCTGGAACCATCATATCCAATTTGCATTATGAAAAGACCCCTAACTTCTACAGTGAGTTTTAAAAAATAATTCCTGTCAAGGACATATGCAGAAACTTGGTTTTCCTTGAAGTAAGTTCCTAGATCACAGGGTCAATACAAGCTTTGTGTGTCCATGCTTTATTGGGAAGAAGAGGAGAAGGGATATATCAATCCAAGACATACTTTTTCAACATTTGCTAGAGTGATTTTCTCAATCAAGTACCTAATGTGTGGCACACTGTCTTGGGGAACAGGAGAGTGTCCTAGAGATCAATGGCATATCTTTAGCCATGCTCTTCAGCAGAAATGGTATAAATTCTGCTGCCCCTTATCCCCAATCCTGTGTATTTCAGAAAAACGTGTATAGAACAGTTGTTGTTGCTTTAACTGTTTTTCATTAATACAAGTAATGTCAAGAAGATTTGGGAAATAAAAAAGAATATATCTATAATCTCACATTCCTAAGACAATTACTATTACTACTTTTACATAATTTACTCTAGACTTAAAAAAATTCTTTTGATAATCTGCATACCTTTTCATGTAACTACAGTTTTATAACGATGGTCCTTTTTTTTTGACAGAGGGTCTCACTCCATTGCCCAGGCTAGAGTGCAGCGGTGTGATCACAGCTCACCACAGCCTTAAACTCCTGGGCTCAAGTGATCCTCCACTTCAGACTTCTAAAGTGTTGGGACTACAGGTGTGTGCTACCATGCCTGGCTAATTTTTGTATTTTTTGTAGAGATGAGGTCTCACTCTGTTTTCTAGGCTGGTCTCAACTCTTGGGCTCAAGAGATCCACCTGCCTCAGCCTCCCAAAGTGCTGGGATTACAGGCATGTGCCATCATGCACAGTTTATAACACTATCTGCTAAAATAACTCTAGAATAATCCAATGGGAAATTATCACTATTTACTTATTTCCTTGAATAGCTAGCAAGTGGTAGAGCTGAGCTGGGCTGTGCCCCTCATGTATTGCACCCAAAGCTCTAAATCACACCTCAAAGCCTACTGTCCATCTTGTACCACTCTCCACTCTCTACTGCTACCCTTCTTTTAGTTTCTCAAACATACTACACTCTCTAGTTAGGAACTATTAAGAATGGAAACCAGAGAGCAGTGACAGAAATTGAAAAATGACAAATCTTAGGAACAGAAGTGAATTTTATGGTTAGAAATATTGTTTTATAAATAGCAGATTTGACAATTCCATATAAATTGTCTCAATAACCTGATGTTATATTGCTGTGTGCTCTTTTGGGTCTGTTCATTTTTGAGCATCAGTCAGCCCCACCTTTACCATCACTGATACCTGTGTCCCTGTTTCTTCCAGACTGGACTTACCAAGTAGAACACAAAGCTCAGATAAGCCACGCTGACCACAGCAGCCACCACATACAACGCCACATGCCCTAGGTCCTGGACATAAACCACTACAAAGTACATGTTGATGGAACAGACGATAAGGACCAAGATCCCGCCCGCAATCCTCCAGCCTCTGTAAAAGAATCATCACAGTCACTGGTAGAATAGTCCAACCTGATCACAGACAGAAAAGGAACCTGTATCTTGTGGGGTAAACAGGACAGGAGTTAGATGCATTTCAAGATGAAATAGAAAATGACTCTTAATACATCCCAGATTAAGTTAAATGAGCCAAAGTTTGACACTGGTAGGGAGAAAGAGGGAGAAAAATACCACCAAATAATCCCTAATATTCAAGTCTTTAGAAATACCACAAGCCCTAGAACTCAATGAGACATTTCATTAGAGTTCTGAGAAATGCAGCAAGTCAATTCAAATACCCTATATCCTTTAAAGAAATATATAAAAGGTACTGGCTTATATCTTTCTCATTAAGATCATTAATCAAAGAATTAAGGTACTTCAAACTTCAGTAGCTGAAGTTGAAGAGTAAAAGCCCTAAAAGCTTAACTTTTTCCCCTGAAATGCAAAATGTGCTTTCTCTTCCTTTGCTACATTCACAGTCTCCATTTTCTAGGCCAAGAAGGAAGCAGTTAGCCATCACCTCTCAAAGCACAGAATTCGGCTGGGCTCAGTGGCTCAGCCTATAATCCCAGCACTTTGGGAGGCCGAGGTGAGTGGACTGTCTGAACCCACGAGTTCGAGACCCGCCTGGGCAACTTGGCAAGACCTCATCTCTACAATAAATCAAAAACAACTAGCTGGGCGTGGTAGTGCATGCCTGTAGTTCCAGCCTACTTGGAAGCCTGAGGCGGAAGGAGTCGAGGCTGTCCCGGCCACTGCACTACAGTCTGGGTGACAGAGTGAGTCTCCAACTCAAAAAAACAAACAAACAAAAAAAAAAGCACAGAGTTCCCCTCTATCTCTCGTGTCTGACTGGCCTGTCGGGTGCCCAGGTGAAGATCCCCCTCCCCACATGCCAGCACCCTCTTTGGGAACTAAGAGGCGCACACTCACATTCCATTGGCAAAGTCATTCATCACTGGCCGCAAGCTCGTAAACGTGAGGATGGGGATGAGAGCAAAAGGAAGCTGCAAAAGAAAGATCAGCTGAGGCTACCAGGGCCTTTGTGTCGTCCCAGAAAACAGCACAACTAGTGCAGGGGAAGCACGGACCCTGCCTCACCTACTCCCTGAGAAATAATTACTCCTATCATCCTGACATGCTCAAGCATTACACTGAAATCTACAGAGCCATCAATAACTTAGCATCATCTGGGATCATCAGTGTCTTTGTGTCCTTACAAACCCTTGTATATGACTCGTCTCCTTAACCTCCACAGGACCTAGCACAGTGTCCAATGTTCATTTAATGTTTGTGGAATTAATAAACTATTGATTTTGTGTTTTAAATTTAAGTAAAGCTCATAATTCCAACAGGCTTAAAAAACCAAGCCATTTCTAAAGGTTTTTATATTCCAGGAATTTCATAACATTCTGGGCAGACCAAGGTAGTGCCTTTTTCTTCCTCTGAATTTCCCTTTAGCACCCGAACCCATCTTTCTCAGCTTTTGATTAGGGGAAATAAACAGAAAACAGAAACTATCACTCTGAGACAGACTTTGCTTTGTCTTTGATTTCTGATTGCTAATGTAGGGCTTTTTTAAAGTTATCAAGTTTTTCTTTCACTTATTTATTTAAGAGACAAGGTCTCACTCTATCCCCCAGGCTGGAGTACAGTACATAGTGCTGCCTAACTAAGTGGGATGTGCCCACTGCCTCCTCACCTGCAAGCTCTGTAGAACATTCAGGAAGTCATTCATCCCTGTCAGATGCTCCACGTCTTGGAAGACAGCAACAAGCAGAGTGGGGATGATGGCAATAGAGCGAGTGAGAATCACTCGGGCAAAGCGAGACCATTTCAGATTCAGGAATCCCTGGAAGAAAACACAGGAGCAGGATGAATGTCTGGAATGAGACGCAGAAAAGCGTCTGGGGAAGTTCAGAAGAGACCTCAGAAGCATGGAACTAAGAAGTGACCAAATGCTGTGTCATCTCCCTTTATTCTATATCAGCACGTACCTCCATGACAAACTGGCCAGAATAGGTTCCTGTCATGGTGGAGCTCTGTCCTGCAGCCAGGATCCCCACTGCCCAGATGTAGAGTGCGGCAGGCCCGAAGTAACAGCCCAGCACAACACCCTGTAAAAGGCAAGGGAGAAGATGACACCAAATCAGCATTTCTCTGTGGCACTTCTCCCTCTTCTTTGCTAGGCACAACCTGCACCAAGTGCTGTACTGGGCACAGTCCCAGAAGCCAGGCTCAGGTCCTGACCTCATTCTAGATGCTTTCTGTCCAAACTTTGCTGGATGCTTCTTCATTCCTCAGCCCAGTCCTTTCTCTTTTCTAAGCTCCTAAACCTTCATCTCCAACATCCATCTTAAGTATTAAAAAAAGGAGGTTTACACCGCATTTCCCAAATTATACTCCTTAACATACAACTCTAGAAAATGGCAATAAAAGTGCAGGGAGGCCAGGCTCGGTGGCTCAGCCTGTAATCCCAGCACTTTGGGAGGCCGAGGTGAGTGGATTGTCTGAGCCCACGAGTTCGAGACCCGCCTAGGCAACTTGGTGAGACCTCATCTCTACAATAAATCAAAAATTAGCTGGGTGTGGTAGCGCACGCCTGTAGTTCCAGCTACTTGGAAGGCCGAGGTGGAAGGATCGCCAGAGCCTAGCAGGTCGGGGCTGCGGTGGCCGGGAGTGGCCACTGCACTCCAGTCTGGGCGACAGAGTGAGACTCCAACTCAAAAAACAACAAAAAAAACAAAAACAAAAGTTCAGGAAAATACAAATAAAATTGGGAAATGGTACACACTACATAGTCTACTCTTGGAAGATCACAATGTAACCAGCACAGAGGGACTGAGAGACCCTGTAGAGAACTTTACTAAGAGCACTCTTTGGTCACCCTGATTCACATCGTCTACAGAACCATACTATGAACCTTGCATTTGGGAAATGCTGGTTACAATCCATCTTTTCAAATGATCCCCTACTCCCTCCCATGGAATCCAAACTGTGTATCTGGTGTCAGGACCTCTGAAATAAATAACACTCCAAAGGAGATATGTTCTGCTCTGAAATGAACTCACAAAAAAACGCAGATAATATACTAAGACTATTGATTCAAGAACAAAGACCACAATCTGAACATGCTTACCCCTTTGTAGATGTCCACGGCCAGGGTTGAGTTATCGTTAGGAAAGAGGCCAGCATGGGGACTGCTGCTATTTGTACAGACTTCAACCTAGAACACAAAGCACGATAAGTCAAAAAAAAAATTAGCTGGGCGTGGTAGCGCGCACCTGTGGTTCCAGCTACCCGGAAGGCTGAGGCAGAAGGATCGCCGGAGCCCAGCAGGTCGAGACTGCGGTGGCTGGGAGCGTGCTGGTGGCTGAGCGACAGAGTGAGACTCCAACTCAAAAAAACAAACAAATAAATAAATAAATAAAGGCAACATCTCTTCAGAGGCAAGGACCAGATAAGAGCTCTCCTCTAGGTCACACACAGGCATCTATGCGAGGTAGGCTGGAGGGAAAACAGTGGATATAGGCTGTGATGTGGGCAAAGACTGGCAGCACTGACACTTGGGATCCTTCCTCCATAATTTGTCTACACCTCAGGTCATCAAAAGTCTTTACTGAGTTAGAGTATGCATGTTAATACGCAAATACTGGGGCATTTTAAATGACAAAGGAGAGGCTCTCAAGAAGGCTTCCAATATGAGAGAATGCCAATAATGGAGAGCCCTTAGGCAAAGCAGATACAGGGGTCAGAGATCCCACAGATGAGGAACAAATGGTGACCAAAACAAGATCGGAGGCTGGGTGCAGTGGACTCAGGCCTGTAATCCCAGTGCTTTAGGGAGGCCAAGGCAGGAGGCTCGCTAGAGGCCTGGAGTTTGAGACCAGTCTGTGCAACACAGTAAGACCCTGTCTCTACAAAAGAATTTTAAAAATGAGCTGGGCACAGTAGGAAACACCTATATTCCCAGTTACACAGAAGACTGAGGCAGGATGGTTGCCTGAGCCCAGGAGCTCAAGGTTGCAGTGAGCTGTTATCCCGTCTGGGGGATAGAGTGAGACCTTGTCTCTTAAATAAATAAATGAAAGAAAAACTTGATAACTTTTTTTAAAGCCCTACATTAGCAATCAGAAATCAAAGACAAAACAAAGTCTGTCTCAGAGTCATAGTTTCTGTTTTCTGTTTATTTCCCCTAATCAAAAGCTGAGAAAGATGGGTTCAGGCTTGATCAGCCCCCAGATCATAGATTCTAATTGGTGCATGGTGATTTCTGGAGGGCAGCAGTGAGGCTAGAGATCTGTTTCCCCTGGACTCCAAGTAATCACATTTTACTACCCCATTCGTCTTCACTTTACCCTCACACTCACTACCACCCATGACCCTGGCTTACTTACCACCTGCTTGTTCGTTTTCCCAAAAAATGCTTCACCAAAGACTGAGACGACAAAGACGTTGATGATGAAGGAAACAAAGAGAGCAATGCAGGATTCGATGAAAAAGTACTTATTGGCTTCTCGAACTTCATGCTTATTGGCCCGGTTTACCTGTCTAGACTAGAGAGATAATAGCAGCAATCATTTTTTGACCAGTTGGAACAAGTTTGCTCATGACATTTCAGGAGTTTGGAGTCAGCTGATAGATTTAGAAGGCAAACAACTGACCAGATGAAACGTGAGAGACCTAAAACTCACCTACATCCTAGTTCACTGAGTGAATAAGGACTTCATGCCCTTTGACGGCATTCCACATTCCCCAAGTAGGGAACACTGACTAAGTGACTACTGAGCTCTCAGTTGTGGTGGCTAGAAAGATCAGTAACCTCTCTGATTTTAGTCCTAAGGGGTGGATACGCTGAATTATAAATGTTTCTGAAATCTCCCAGCAAACTATTGTAGAAGACTAACTGGTAAAGCCTGGATGGGCCCCTTTACTCCTGATCTCCATAAGGCCACTAGTTTTTGAAATTTAAACACAAGAGGCTTGATGTACTTGCTGTGGGGTTAGTAATCGCTGGTCAATTTGGTGATAAAAACACAGTCCAAGTATGTAGAGCTTATAAATGTCCAGCTGTACCAGCTGAACCAGAAATTACCTTGTTCTTTCAGGTCTCTAACAATTGTAAACTAAGTTTGTGTCCCTTAGAATTCAAGGAAAAGATCCCATGAACTACCCAGAAGGCTACCGAGACAAGGGCCTTACTCACCTTGACTAAGGCAGAATGCAGGTACATGTTGTGTGGCATGATAACAGCTCCCACGATGCCCACAGCCTGCTCGATCTGTGGGGTGCGACAGCCCGAACAGGATGGCACGAACATGCCCCTGAGTACCTGGCTCTGGCTGGGTCTCACTGTAACATACTACATACAACACAGCAACTATTAACCTTTATGGGAACATGAGACTAGGGGAGTTGCAAGTACTAGAGAACACCCAGCAGCCTTTACTCCTTACAACCCCTTCTTCTGCAACTACCTGGAATAATGAGGAATACAGAATCATCAAAGAGCCAAGCAACATAAGGGGCTTACAGCCATGGGCCACAGAATTCAGGGCTAATTATACAGGACTCTATTTTGGAAAGTCCTAGAAAGTCTAGTCATTTTTAACCTGGGAGTCCCTGCAGGCCTTCCTGCATATTCAACTTTGCTATGAAGCATATTCCTTCAAAATTGGCCCAAGGCAAAATTGCTGACACTCGTGATACAATTAAACCACACTAGCACTATTACTAACTTTTACAATAGGCTAAAAACATAACAACATCATCAAAAACTTGCTTGAAAGCTAATGAATGGCCTGTAACACTTGCCTCATATCCAAATGTGAGGGCCATAATAGTGATGAGAAAGCCAAAAAATGCTTCCAGCTTCCGCAAGCCTAACGGGGAAAATGCAGTGGTGAGCTCACAGCAGGCAAACTTCCCTATCAGCCACAGGATGGAAAGCAGCTCCTTTGACTAACCCCTCCCACTCTCATGCTCCTTACCATATTTGTCCAGAAAGAGAAACACAAAGGTATCTGCAATGGTGATGAGAACGCCACCCCATAGAGGAACCCTAGGTCAGATATAAGAAATAGAGATCAGAGATAAGAAACACTGAAAAACACTATCTTCCCAGCAGCCCTCCAGATACAGAATACCTGGAGAAGCTAGGACTTGGGGCAGGAAGGATAGAGGCAGGAAGCCAGGCCTTGGGTAGTCTAGGGTAACAGCACCAGCTAAATTATACTCATTCTAACTTTGAGGGTCTACTATGCGAGACATTTAGGATACAAAGCTGACAAACATGGATCTTACCCTCAGGAAGCACACTATCTAGTGGGATAAACTGATATACAAATAAATAACTTTAATACAAAATGCTACATACTCTATGACAGAGGTATGCATAACCCAGCTTGGGAATGAGGGATGTAGAGCCCACATCTGCTGGGGCAGAGGAATGTGGCTCTAGAAAGGTTTCACAGAAGAAATTATAATAACTGAGTTGAATCTTGAACATTGAAAATGAATCTGGCTTTTGTTTTTCTGCTATAAAATCCAGCAGAACGTTGATGACTCTCCAGAGGAAACGCCCTTACCTTCCTACAGACAGAAGATTGATGGCAATGGCTGAGCCAATGACTTCTTGCATATCTGAGCCAATAATAGCCAACTCCACCATCAGCCACAGGATGATTCGTGGGACCTAAACACCAACCAGTAGAAAGACATGGTTCTGACTAATCATTTCTGAGAACCTCCTCTATTGTTTAGAATTCACATTTTTGGTAATCACACACACACAATCTTTTATAAGCCGCTAAGGCCAGATGAAGTACCAGAACTTGGCTCCACTTGGCCCATCACTACACTGCTCCCAGGTGGAGAAGGAAAGTATGTTTTCACGTGGCAGAGTCTATGATCCAAGGTCTGGGGCAGCAACTGATTGTACTTTTTTTTTGAGTCTCACTCTGTTGCCAAACTAGAGTGCAGTTTCATGATCATAGCGACAACAGCCTCGACCTGCTGGACTCAGGTGATCCTTCAACCTCAGCCTTCCAAGTAGCTGGAACTACAGGCATGCACCACCACACTCAGTTAATTTTTTGATTTATTATAGAGATGAGGTCTTACCAAGTTGCCCAGGCTGGTCTCGAACCCTTGGGCTCAGGCAATCCTCTCACCTCGGCATCCCAAAGTGTTAGGATTATAGGCATGAGCCACCGCGCCCAGTCGATATTCCTTTTTCTTTTTTGAGTTGGAGTCTCACTCTATTGCCCAGGCTGGAGTGCAGCAGCCTGCTGACAGCCACCACAGACTCGACCTGCTGGGCTCGGGTGATCCTTCCGCCTCATCCTTCCAAGTAGCTAGAACTACAGGTGCATACTACCACGCCTGGCTTATTTATTTATTATAGAGATGAGGTCTCACCAAGTTGCCCAGGCAGGTCAGGGCTCAGGCAATCATCTCACCTCAACCTCCCAAAGTGCTGGGATTACATATTTGAGCCACCACGCCCAGCCTATATTCTTAATCTAACCTCATATTTAGATAAGATACTGATCTAGCTGGGCTTGGTGGCTCAGCATGTAATCCCGCCCCTTTGGGAGGCTGAGGTGAGTAGATTGCCTGAGCCCGCGGGTTCGAGACCCGCCTGGGCAGGCAAGACCTCATCTCTACAATAAATCAAAAAATTAGCCAGGCGTGGTAGCGTGCACCTGTAATTCTGGCTACTCGGAAGGCTGAGGTGGAAGGATCGCCAGAGCCCGGCAGGTCGAGGCTGCGGTGGCCGGGAGCGGCCACACTGCACTCCAGTCTGGGTGACAGACTCCAACTCACCAAAAAAAAAAATAAAGATACTTATCTACCTGTGATTTGTCCTCAATGTTTAATCTCCATTTGAAAATATCCTTATCTGCTTTTGAAAAAAAACTTGGTATTCATAATTTCTTCTAACTTCTCTTTCTTCATGCATGCTAACTGGTTTTTTTTTGGTTTGTTTTGTTTTTTAATGACAAGAAATTTTGTGGATATCTGGAGGTGTTTTTTCTGGCTTCAGTGAGTCAGCATAACTACATTTGTTATGCACTACATATGCTATGCTCAAAATATCCAAAAAGAAGCTGCAAAGAACAGTGTGTAACCCCGAGGGTGAGGGTAAATTGAAAAGTAACTACTAGGAAATCCAAAGATCCTGACAAATACAGTTTGTATAAAAGGAGGAAAAAATGTACCTTTTTCAAAGTGAAGGCAAAGTCAAACAAAAAAGAAGACATATATGCAAACCGATGGAGGAACATAGAGATATGAATAAAAGTACTTGGAGAATGTATGCCGTCCCCTGTGTGCTGGGCACTGCTAGAGGCTAGAAGGCAGAGTGGATGATAAATGTTTACTCAGATTTTCTAAGGAAGTTTTCTGGGAAAAAGTGACTCTGAAGTTAGGTTTTGCAGGAAGCAGCAAGAGGAACTGCAGTTTTCAGGGCACTGACCCCCAAGCCCTCCACCGTCTCAGTACATAGTGGGGACAGCACACACTGTCAGACACACAGATTTCCACAAATGGATAAGAGACAAATAGGACAGTTCGCTACTCACCTTGGGATACTGACGGTGACATACTTCAGCAAGGTGTAGCCCCGTGACCACACCCAGTCGAGCTGCAAGCCGCTGGAGCAGTAGTCCTACGATGGTGGCCAACAGAAGGACCCAGAGCAACTGAGGAGAACAAAATTCACCCACAACACTCATTACAACACTGGGTTTTTTTGTCCAGTAGTTTAGCAACATGAATGGGAAACACTACATTCAGGAAAGGGCCTCGGGCAAGAATCAAATGACCTGAGTTCTGTAACAGGTTTTGCACATAACTTGCTACTTTTCCCTTGTACCATTCTGAGCCTCAGTTTCTCTTATCTGCAGTTTCTCCTTTGTTCAAGGAAACTATGTGGATAAAATAAAAGATCAGATGGGAAGTACTTTACACGAAGTGATATATGTGTCACTGCCAATAAAGTACCTGCATGTAGCTCCTGAGGCTGCTATCCAACACACAGGGTCCTGAAAGGGATGGGAAGGTGTCCTGTGTGCTTAGAAGGCCCAAGGTAGGACTGGATGCTCACCTTAAATCCAGCTACTGCTCCAGACTGCAGATCGGATTCGATGTTTCCTGGATCCAGGTAGGCAATGCTCATAAGAAAGCCTGGTCCCGTGAAAGCCCATAGTTTACGAAAGCTAAAGCAAGAATGCTATACAAGAGAGGAAAAGAGATTAAGCGGAGTATCACCATCAAACTCTTGCTCTAATTTATCTGTTATCACACTTGAAGCAACAATATCAGCTTCACAAGAACAAAGGATTTAGAGTGTTGGACAATGTACATGTCCAAGTTTCACTTTCATCTTATCCACCTTTCCTTTTATTAACCAAGTCAGGGTCTTTCCCTTCCCCGCTCTTTTCATCAGCCTCTCATTCTAAAACTAGAGAAATAATATCAGTACTTCTGTACCCAACCACTACCCAAACAGGATAAGAGCCACCATTAAAAAAAAGAATCAGGGCTGGGTACAGCGACTCATGCCTGTTATCCCTACACTTTGGAAAGTCAAGGCAGGAGGATTACTTGAGCCCAGGAGTTTGAGACCAGTCTAAGCAACACAGTGAGCCCCTGTCTTTATAAAAAATAAGAAAGTTGGATGGGTGTGTTGGTATGCAACTGCAATCCCAGGTACTAAGAAGGGTGAGGCATGAGGATCATTTGGGCCCAGGAGTTTGAGGCTACAGTGAGTTATGATTATGCCACTGCACTCCAGCCTAGGCATCAGAGTGAGACACTGTCCCCTTTAAGGAAAAAGAAAGGAATCAAGCCAGAAGTGGTGGTACACACTTGTAGTCCAGCTACTCAGGAGACTGAGGTGAGAGGATCACTTGATGCCAGGAGTTTGAGACCAGCCTGGGCAACATAATGAGACTCGTATCATTAAAAATAAAAATAACAGACTGGGCGTGGTGGCTCATGTCTGTAATCTCAGCACTTTAGAAGGCTAAGGTGAGAGAATTACACACCTGTAATCCCTGCACTCTGGGAGGCTTGAGCCCACGGGTTCGAGACCAGCCTGGGCAACTTGGCGAGACCTCATCTCTACAATAAATTTTTTAAAAAGTGGCTGGGCATGGTGGCACATGCCTGTAGTTCCAGTTACTTGAAAGGCTGAGGGGGAAGGATCACCTGACCCCAGCAGGTCGAGGCTGCAGTGGCCGTGAGCGTGCCATTACACTCCAGCCTGGGCGACAGAGTGAGACTCCAATTCAAATAAATAAATAAAGAAAAATAAGAATAATTAGCCAGCCGGGCTTGGTGGCTCAGCCTGTAATCCCGCACCTTTGGGAGGCTGAGGTGAGTGGATTGCCTGAACCCGTGGGTGCGAGACCCACCTGGGCAACTTGGTGGGACCTCATCTCTACAATAAATCAAAAACTAGCCGGGTGTTGTAGAGTGTGCCTGTAGTTCCAGCTACTTGGAAGACTGAGGCGGAAGGATCACCGGAGCCAGCAGGTCGAGGCTGTGGTGGCTGGGAGCGACCACTGCACTCCAGTCTGGGCTACAGAGTGAGACTGCAACTCAAAAAAAAAAAAAAAAAAAAAGAATAATTAGCCAAGCACATTGGTGTGTGCCTATAGTCCCTGCTACTCAGGAGTCTGAAGCAGGAGGATCGCTTGAGCCCAGGAGTTCGAGGCTGAGGTGAGCTATGATCACACCACTGCACTCCAGTCTAGGTGACAGAACAACAACAAAATCCAGTTTTCCAAGAATACTGGCCAAATTAGATTCGAGACTGTTGAGCTTGAGTCATCCAGCAGATCTTTCAGTCACAATTTTCTCAGGCACCTATCTCCCACAAAGAAGTATCACTAACCTCCTCCTCAGGAATGGAGATCTTCTCATTAAAGTAAGTGGCAAAATGCTCCTCTGAATGCCCAGACGACTGTGGAAGAGAGGAATTACTGAAGGCAGGGTTCAAGGTACCAAGACTGGCTGTCTCACCATGGTCTCCAGAAGCACTATCTGAATTAACACATTACAGAAAAAATTAATAAAAATGAACAAAATATACCAACTCATCCTTAGTGTACTGAAATTAAATCTGTTTATACCCAAACGCATAAGAGACCAACCTGACTCTAGCTCAATTTTTAAAAATACTTTATTCTCCCAGCCAAGGCACCTTGGCGAGGCCGTGTCTCTGCAGTAAACCAAAAAATAAGCCAGGCATGGTGGTGCACACCTGTAGTTCCAGCTACTTGGAAGGCTGAGGTGGAAGGATGGCCTGAACTCAACAGGTTGAGGCTGCGGTGGCCGTGAACGTGCCACTGCACTCCAGCCTGGGTGACAGAGTGAGACTCAAAAAAAAAAACCCAGAAAAAACTTTATTTGTATCCATATATTGAAAATAAGCAATACATTCAGTACAAAAAAGTCTCCACTAAAAGTGTTCTCTTAGCCGGGCTCGGTGGCTCAGCCTGTAATCCCATGCCTTTGGGAGGCTGAGGAGAGTGGATTGCCAGAGCCCGTGGGTTCGAGACCCACCTGGGCAGCGAGACCTCATCTCTACAATAAATTAAAAAATCAGCCGGGCTCGGTGGCTCAGCCTGTAATCCCGCGCCTTTGGGAGGCTGAGGTGAGTGGATTGCCTGAGCCCGTGGGTTCGAGACCTGCCTGGGCAGCGAGACCTCATCTCTACAATAAATAAAAAAATCAGCCGGGCGTGGTAGCGCATGCCTGTAATTCCGGCTACTTGGAAGGCTGAGGCGGAAGGATCGCTGGAGCCCAGCAGGTCGAGGCTGCGGTAGCCGGGAGTGGCCACTGCACTCCAGTCTGGATGACAGAGTGAGACTCCAACTCAAAAATAAATAAATTAATTAATTAATTAATTAAAAAATCAGCCGGTCATGGTAGCGCATGCCTGTAATTCCGGCTACTTGGAAGGCTGAGGCGGAAGGATCGCCGGAGCCCAGTAGTTCGAGGCTGCGGTGGCCGGGAGTGGCCACTGCACTCCAGTCTGGGTGACAGAGTGACACTCCAACTCAAAATAAATAAATAAATAAAAAATAAAAAAAATAAAAGTGTTCTCTTGCAAGACACGGTAGCTCACGCCTGTAATTCCAGCACTTAGGGGGACAGAGGTGAAAGGACTGCCATAGGTTTGAGACCAGCCTGGGCAACATGGTGACACCTCGTCACTACAATAAATCAAAAAATAAGCTGGGCATGGTGGCGCACACCTGTAGCTCCAGTTACTTGGAAGGCTGAGGTGGAAGGATCGCCTGAGCCCAGCAGGTCAAGGATGTGGTGGTTATGAGCATGTTACCGCACTCCAGCCTATGTGACAGAGTGAAATTCTGACTCAAAAAAATAAATAATACATAAATAAATAAAGAGTTTCCTCTCCCCAGTCACTCAGCTCCAGGTCAGTTTTAATACTAATCTCAGCCGGGCTTGGTGGCTCAGCTGGACTTGGTGGCTCCCGGGCCTTTGGGAGGCTGAGGTGAGTGGATTGCCTGAGCCCGCGGGTTCGAGACCCGCCTGGGCAGCGAGACCTCATCTCTACAATAAATCAAAAA